ACAGTTCTTCAGGTAGCTGCTACCTGGAAAAATGTTCTGGCTGAAAATACTGCTTAATCAGGCTAGAAGTGAAGTACCTATCTTGATAGCAGAGATTAGGAGCATTGCACATTTTTTGTTACCGCACAGCTTTGTTGCGCAAAACAGAGCTCCACTGTTGCAATCTGGATAATGTATTTCAAAACATTAATCAAGGATTAGTCCTTGGCGCTGATTTATGAGAAAATACCAATGCCGCAGAGGATTTATAACCTGTGTAAATGATTCATGGAGTACATGTTTTACGAGATGGGTCCTCCGTGCGTGTAAGCTGGAGCACGGCCTTGGTGCACACGCTGCGGTGCGTACTTCCTAGGCTGCCTTGGAAAAGCAAGGTCCTGGGAGAGTCCCACCGGGATTCCTCCTGCCTCTCCGCCCACTCCCACCACCTGATGAGTGGGCTTTGGGAGAGCCACCCCGCTCGGGGCGGGGGGGGGGCAGGAGGCGGTAGCACAGACCTGAGCTGTGGTGATGTGTTCTGTAATACTAATGTAGCCCTGTAGAGGGAATGCTTTGGTAAGACTTTAATGAGGCTGTGTATCGCTGTGTTGTATCAGGGACCAAATTCATTCTTTGTGTCACCTGCTGAGTTCAGGAGTTAACATCAAGAGCAATTTTACCCAGTAGGTTGTTTTTTTTTTCTAAAATTCTTATCATGCTATAATTCGCTTTAAAATTTCATCCCTGACTGAAGAGGGTGGAAGTGTCCATTTGATTCAATGCAAGGGATAGGCTTTGATGCTGTCTTACATGGGCATCAAAAGCTTAAGATGACATGCGTATTAAAAGTGCTTTTCACTGGCAGCTTGCAGAAGGCCCCATGGCCAGATGTAACAAAAGGGAATCTGTAGCGTGTTGTTTACCAAATTCTCCTACGCTTCATCTTAAATCAGCATGGGGAAATCATAACGCCTTCTAAACAACACTGGGAAATGGGGTTTGTTCACTAAAATTAATATCACAAACCCATCAAAAATACTCTGACGTTATGTATTATTTGTGTTGATTAAAAATCTGCTTGCAACACTGGGTTTGCTATTGATCATAAAACCGTGCACTGACCTAGTCCTTTCCCTCCAAGGTATCAAAGCACTTAAAAACCTACCTCATCCCAACCCTCGGATCCACTGTGCCCATAGATCATCTGGGCCACAGACACTTTCTGATACCTCCAAGCTTCGCCCCTCTGCTCTAGCACTGCTGCCTTGCCTTTCCAAGATGAAGGGATTTTCCTCTACTGCAATGCAAGGTCTGCCTTGAAAGGAAGACAAGGGAGCAGAACAGGCGACGATGCATGGTGTCCACTTAATTCAGGTCTCGCTCACTCAAACCCACTGACCCCATCCCACCCTCTTTGTTGCTATTGGAGGAGTCTTTCACTAGGCACTCGTCAGGACCAGATGCCATCTGGACACCCGGCAGCTTCAATGCCACCTCCAGAGCATACAGGCCTCCGGATGCCCAAGCACAGCAGGTCACCATGCTTCAACTGCCACCTGGGCAGCAGAATGACAGCAAACCCCTTGTGGATGGCAGCACGGTGGATCTGTGCCATTAACATTTCCGAAAGCACAGACATACTCACTGAGTACTGAAAGCAAGTCTTAATCATCACAGGGACTTCCTCTGTGGATATTAATAATCTCCTCGCTTCCTCTGAGGAGCCCCCCTGTCTGATGGGCTCAGTCTCTGCAGAAGCATCAATAAAGCTCAAACTTTGCAAGCTTTCATCTAGAAAAAACAGCCTTTCTTGGAAAAAAGATGAAGCAAACATCGGTGAGGCCCAGCAGTACACTGCCTGGGCTGGGCACTGCCACGGTGTAGCTGCACCTGTGTTTGTGGTGCAGCCGCCAGAGGCTTCTCCTCCCCTGTTGACTTTGGCCAGCGAGGAACAATTGCTCTGCAGGGTCCCCCTGCTCTGCTCCTCCTTCCCCCACACACCCGCCGGGGATCTGCTCATCAGATCACCGCTTGGGAGGGTCTGGGAGAAGCACTTTCCGCTTCCTGTGGGGAAGGATGTGATTAAAGCCTTGTAAATAAAAGGCTTGGCTCAGAAAACGCCTGGGTGCCTTCCGAGGCATGCCTCCGACATGATGCAGATATGAGCAGTGGCAGCATGCCCCATTACAGAGGGTGCTACCTTCTGGTGGCCTGACTCAGGGTGGTGAGAAGGAGGAGATGGGCCAGAGTCTGATTACGCACTGTGCTGGCCATGGCCCATCTGGGACCTGTCAGAGGGGTCCCAGACCCCAGGAGCAGTGACCTCTTGGCACAGGCACCTGCTGGTTTCCACGTCCTAAGGGCTGACTCAGGAGGGGCCGACCGGCCACGGCCAGGACTATGCCTTCTGGAGAGCTGCCACCAAGGTGGGCACCCAGGTCAGAGCACAGCTGGTCCCGGGTGGCCCCTGCTTTACCTGCTCGGAACGATCCCCCCCTGAAGGGAGCAAACAGACCTCACTGCTGGCTTGCACAGCGCGATTCCCTCCTCTCTAGGGAACTACCCTGGCGTGGGTATGTGCTAGGGGAGAACTGGCCTCCTCACATCATGTTTGTGCAGCGTGTTACCAGGGATCCATCACCTGCTTATCCCATATGAAGTGAACTAGTGTCCACGCTTTGTCCTAAGCTCCTCTTACCTCTTAATAATGAAGGGATAAAAGCTACTTTGGGAGAAGAGAAGGGCCAACAGTGCCTGTGGAGGGGATGAACTCCAGCAGGAGCAGGGAAGTCCTGCTGTTCTGCTTCAGTAGGGAACAGGCAGTTATCATAGTTTGCCGAGGGTCTATCTGGGCTCAGAAACCAAGGAGCACACACTCGTGCAGAAAAACATCTAAGAAACTGCAGCTTGACCGACTGAGACTTAGGAAGATAACACCAGAAGGCAGAAGTTGCAATCCTCCATCCCTCTCTGTTCTTATGTTCCCTCCATGCACAGGCCATCTGCTCCATATCCCACACTCCGGCATTGGATTTGATGTTTCTTTATAGCTAGAGGGTGTCTTGACCAGCTTTCCAGTGTGGTCAGAAATCTGAGGCTGCACTGGGTTAACACTGGAGTCAAATCATTTACCCAGGTTCCTCAGGAACACAAAGCTGGCTTTTGAAGGACACCCATGTGGGAAATAGCTGGCAGCACTGCTCTGTCCTGGTGCATCTTTCATTTTTGCAATGTGATGCTGACCAAAAGCAGCCTACAGAGAGAGAGTGTAGCCCAAGGAAAAGTACATTAGACTAAAAGTCAGGAGATATGATGCAAGTATATAGGAAATCTGCCTACATGTTGCCTAAATAATCCACTTTATGAACTTTCTGTACCGTTTACCAGGTTCTGTCTGACGTGGAGAAGTGATGGTGGCACGCGTTTTCCCGACGGTAAGGACCATCAGGGCCTGGGCAGATTTTACCGAGGACTAAGCGGTATCTGCGTCTTCAGGGAAGTTTCCTCCCACACCACAGCGTGGGGCCGAGGTCTGAAGGATATGCCGGCCCCGGGCGCAGAGAGGCGGCAGGGATGCTGCAGCCGACTCCTTCAACCTGCAGGCTCCGGCCGAGGCAGGAGGGACCCGGGGACAAAGGCGGCCGCCCCAGGGGGAGGGCGGGCAGCCGCGCAGAACGGAGCGGGGCCGGGCCGGGCCCCGGTGACAAAGCCCG